CAGCAATTGTGCGTTTCGGAAGTCGATGGCAGCGGGGCAGAACCAGGGGGGCCAGGTCAGGGGGAAGGGCAAGGGGCGCAAGTTGGGGCCGCCAGGCGTCCGCGCGGGGATGGCGCTCACGGGGGGCATCCAGGGTTGGTGTCGGACCGGCAGAAGGAAGACGAAACGGCAGTGCCAGCATCGATCGATCGAGCAATGGGAGCCCTGAACGACATCCCGAAGCTCATGGGGGACAACACCGAGCACGGCCAGGCAATGATCACAGAGGCGATCGCGATGTGCAAGGCCAGCGAGAGCGACGAGGCGCGCAACGGCAAGAAGAGGAACCCGAACGAGGACGAGCAGGAGTTCTGGGAGGAGGGTTCGGGCAATATCCAGATGGGCATTAACGAGATCCCCAACTTCAGAGCGGTGCCCCCGCAGGGCACGAGGGAGACGCAATGGCGAGGCTGGGCCAGTTCGCAGGCCACAACCCGAGGATGGCGATGGGGGCGCTGGTCGCCCGCGTTGGAGGCGAGAGATTTCAGTCGGCGGCGGCCAAGCCGGAGCTGGAGAGGATGGTGGAGTTGGAACTTCAGCGTCGGCGCCGCCCAGGGCAGAGGAAGCGGTGGCATTGGTGAGGTTTTCTCGGGGCGCGGCGCCGCAGAGGTCAGAAGGGTCAACTGCATTAGCGAGGTCTTCCCGGAGTGCAAAGACCCCAAGGCAGAGTGCCAGGCCGCGGCTGACGCGGACAATCACGCACGCTGCACCTTCGACGGCGTCAGCATCATGCAATGCGGGCGCCGCCTCAGGGGGGGGGGGCCTGCGGCAGTCGGGCGTAGCTAGCGCGCCCAACAGCGCGCAGACGGAGGGGAATATATACTTTTCGGGTGATGAAAGAACAGCAGACTCGATCCGCATGAACGTTGCGCGCCTCGCCAGCCGCAGACGCGTTGCCCCGCATAGTGGCCCTGAAGTTCCGAGCAGAACGGGAAGCTGAGTTGCAGAGAAACGCCCGGGGGAAGAATGGCCTGCCTGGCAAAGGCCAGCCTACCCGTCCCAGCCAGCCGCGGCGCCATCTAACATGGCGGCGCGATGCGCCCCCCCCCCCCCCCCTCTGTCCATTGCAGACGCGGAGAGATGGTTGGCGGGGTACTTTGCAATGCAGCACGCGCCCAATTCAAAGACGAGTCACGGTCAATGGGGGGGGGGGAGATGGGACCAGCATGCGAGGTACTGCGCCTCCAACAGGGCACTTGGGAACGAGATGCTACTTCAATGGGGGGAGATGGGGCCATCATGCGAGGTACTTCGCGTATAACAGGGAAGTTTGCGATGTGCTACTATCTCCATCGCTCATGCTCGGCTGCCGCAGCTGATCTGGCTCGGCGCTGGCCTAGGTGCGCGGTGTGGCGCGCTGGCGGGGTTTCTCGGAGTGCGTCGTACGTGGCGGCCATGGCCTTCGCGGGCAGCGGCCAGCCATGGCCCTGCGGGCGCTGCAACAACGGGTTTCAACACTGCGAGATGATCGAGGGCCGCAGAGAGCACGCGAGAAACGGACCAGGTTACTGAAAGGACCAACGCGGCATATGCAGTGAACGGAAAAGAGCGTGCGTCGGCTGCGAGCTGGATTTGAGGGAGAAGGAGTGGGAACATTGATGAAGAAAAGGCATTGCAGTGAGGAGAAAAGTATATTTCGAGAGAGCCGGTCTGAGCGGGGAGCCCAGGCACTGGGACAGATTAAAGTTGCTCAAGCACCACTGGCAGAAGAAGAGGGTTCACAGAACAAGTCTCGCACACAAAGGAACAATATCGCCATGGAGAAGTCAAAGGAGGCGGCGCAGGCGCTGCTGGATGGGGATCAAACTGAACGGTGGAGTATTTACAGCCTTTAGCAAGGCAGGAGAGATAATGATAAAAGCTTTTCGCTGCGCTGAAGAAGGCGACATCCTACTCGACAGATACATGGCCATGGACGTCAATGGCGAAGATTCGCCGAGGGTGGCCGCGCGAGTTGGAGAAAGACTGCGAGCTGCGCGACATGGGCGACTACGAGACGGCAAGGGGCAGGGGGGGGAGCAGCCAGCTTCCCTCAAGGCGCAGGACTTCGTGGCCAAGTGGGGCGACAACGTGCAGCTAGCTGTTCAACGCATGCAGGAGCGGCGCTGGTTGGGGCGAGAAGAGGGGGGTGGCTCGCTCGCGCGGGCCCGCATTCCCGAACAAGCTGTGGCGGAGCGGCCCCGGCCCCAACTCGGGGGGGGACACGCGGCAGTTCTGGTGCAAGGTGGGCCGGGTGCAGCTCGTCAAGGCGCAAGAGAGTCCCCCAGAGGACGTGCTCACGAAGGAACGGGTGGACAAGATGAAGGATGCGCGCGGGGCCGAATGCGAGGGGTGGCCAGAGTTCGGGCCCAGGTGCAGATTCCTCCCGTTCAAGAGCGGCCCGTCGATGGTGGTGGAGCTCAAGGTGAGAAACAGATGGGAAGCGCTCATTGCGGCAAGGCTACCGCAGCAACTTGACGACGCCATCACGGAGCGCCACTGCCAGTTCTTCGACGCGGCCCAGAAGCTGAGCCCAGAAGAGCTATCCGAGCTGATCCCCGCGCCCTTCCCGATGACGCGCAATATCGATGGTTGCGACCTCGTCGCAAGGTGCCCAGTCGACCGATGGGGGAGATCAGGGGGGAAGGCCTTCGCCGCGCAAAGCTGGCGCGAGCTGGCGCCGAAGATAGCGAAGAACAGCGAGGCGAACCTCCGCGAATTTACGAAGGTCGCCGCGCCACTCACGTGCAGGAGTGGAACAACGAGGACAACGTGGACCCAGAGGAAGTGCAGGGGCTGCAGGAGCGCCGGAAGCTGCGAGACAGCGCGCAGACCATGCTGGGCGGCACCGAGATCTTCGCGGCAAAATTCGGCTGCCTCAAGTCAGGAGAGACGACTGCGGCCAGCCCCTCCAGCGGCCGCCAGCGAGCGCGCCCACTGGAGCCTGCTGGTATGTCAAGAGGAAGCGTTCGCGAGGTTTCATGGAGTGCTGCTCTAGGCAGGCTGCGGGCTGGCCGTGCCCGCAGGCAGTCAGGAGGAGCATTGGCGAGGTTTCTCGGAGCGCACTTCACGACAGAAAGAATGGGCACAGCGGGGCGCTCGCACCGCCATCGCAATGGGGGGTATTGTTTGGAGGGCCGACAGGTGCACCACTGCAGGGGGTCGAAGAGAAAAAGTGATCATCAGGAAGCCTACCGGCGTGGTCCTCATTGGCCCTACCATATACCGTGACTGCCAGCATGCTCTACCTCGCGTACGCACCGAGGGTGAACGATGGGATGCTTCAACAGGGTGCCAGAGTACAGATGCGACAATACATGGGGCATCTCTCGGAATGACCGCGAAGTGAGCCGAACGGGAGAGGGGGGGCGGAATTTAAACAGTAGAATACGCAGCCCCCCCCCAGCAATAGTTTGGAGTATCGGGCCTTCCGCCCTTCCCCCGTCTCCTCTTTTTGAGTTCGTGTCGTCGTCTCCCCCCTCCCTTGCTTGGGGGCCCTGCTAAGCCCGCGCGCCCCTTCCCCTCGGGCACGCGGAAGGGCCGGCGGCCGCTCCCCCCGCGCTGACCCGCTGGGACTCTCGATGTAAGGTAGCGAGCTTCTCTTACGGGGCCACCTCGGAGCTCGGTCCTTGAGCCACGCGGCAAGCCGCATGCCGGCCCTAATGAGAAGGCAGGGCTGTAGCACAACCAATCGTAAGGGATTTGGTCAGAAGCGCGTAGGTCACCCGAGTAGGTGCTCTGACGCTGCACCTCCTTATGCGGATGTCCTTGTCCTTGTCCTCGTCCTCCTCCTCCTCGTCCTCCTCTTCCTGCGATTTGGTTCAACCTTTCGCGCCGCTTTGTTTAGAGGCCCATTTGTTTACTCTGCGCGCGGATGCGTGCGAGCTGTCGGCCGCCATCCTTTGTTCCTCTACGTCGTGGTCCCTCTTCGCTTGTTTCGTGATGCCAACGGCACGCTCGCGAACCAGGACCATGTTAAGTCACGATGGGCAAAACAAGTAATGCGTGGAGACCGCACTGGTAAACATATCCAACGTGCTGCTAGTCGTGGTGTGAGGCACCCGTTGGTAAGTGATACTTCAGCACCTTGAGACGGAGATATGCATCAAACTGGACGGTATGGGCTTGCCACGCGCCCCCAAGCGACCACCGTTTGGCTTGCCACCATGTTTTCTGCAGTACGGCGTTCGCGACTGTTTGTATAGGGCGCGTGGCGTTTGCAATTCGTCTGGGAGTGATGGCCTCCCCGTGCCGACGCTGTCACTGCATGTTTGGTGCAGTCGCGGTTTGGAATTGGCGCGCTCACGAAAGGCGTCGGTAACTTAAAAGAACCGCGCATGCTTTTAACGTAAATGGGTACACCACTTGTGGTGCGTGTCTTACCCGTGTCGTACACGCTTGAGCTTGATGAGTTGTCGTAGTTAGAGCAATGCTTCGATTATTGACGTCTGAGACCGCAACACATACGGTCGGACTAACGGCCTAGTCTTGCAGCGCGGTTCATTCTTGCATGGGGGAGGTCGATATAACGGACGAGGAGGGAGTTTGATGGGAGGGAGACTAGATGGGGGCAACAGCGAGGACGCTGGGTTGGAGTTGCTGGGAGGGCTGACGCGAGCAGCCTGTTCGGAAGGTTGGCAGAAGAGGATGCGTTGCTAAGGAGCACGCGTGGCGTGAAGCAGGACGACGCCACGTGCAGGACACAGGAAATATGACGGTTGGAAGCCGGTGGCGGACGGAGAGGACACGCAGTGGAGAGTGAATTTTGTGGTTCGGTGTGGGTCGATCGAGGCGAGGAACAGCTCCAGCATAATCATCATCACATCTTTCGTGGTGGCCGAATTCTGTGGTTGGTTTTTGGCTTGTCCGCGCTGTGAGCTTCACTCTAGCGGGGGTGGTGCCCTCCAGCGGTGCGCTGGAGCGTCCAGCCGCTCCGAGAAGGAAACGCACGAGGTTGTTTGGAGGGGCGAGCGGGCTCTCAGGTCGTATCCGACGGGCGAGTGACGGGGGTGCCTGCGATCGTGGAGGACTTGTGGCCGCCCTCCGACGGAAAGTGGAGCCCGCGAGCGTTGCGCGGGGGCTGTGGGGGCCAGGGGCTCTCCTCCTTTTCCTCCTTCGCCTCCTCCAATTCGTCCTTCCTCCTGCCACCTCTTCCTCTGTCCTGTCCTGAGTTCGTCAGTTTGGGACATTCCTTTGCACGTCCTCTCCCGTCCTCCCTCCTCCGTCTGGGGAAGCGGGCGGTGGAGGGAATGTTCTCCTGGCGCTCATCTCCAGGGAAGCTGATCCTGCTCAGGGCTGCGGGTCTTGCATGTGCCCCGAGCTCGGCCAGTGTTGCCATGTGCACAGAGTGTGGGCAGCCTGGTTGCCACCAATCTGCCTGGGAGGAGGGAGGGATGGATTTGCCCCGGAAAGGGCGCTGGCCCAGGGTTCTTTTTCTTTTAGGATGGTAATATGTCCCCGGTGCCATGCGGGAGGTGGGCTGGCGGAATTCCGCTCGATAAAAAACTAGGCAAAGTCCAATTCGGGATAAAAAACTAGGCAAAGTCCAATTCGGCGTGAAAAAAATGCGTTTCGCGCGTGCCCGCTCGAGGAAAGTCGACCCCCCATCTCGGATCCTCGAGAAATAACGGGGTCCGCGGACCACCGCTCTCCTATGTGAAAAAGAGGGTGCGGGGCACTTTTAGCAGAATCTTCAACAAAAAAAACGAGGTCTGGAGCCCCGACCGCGACGCGGAAAAGCGCCCCGCGCGCAGGAATTCCGAGGATGTCTCGCGCGTGCCGCGTCCCGCGCGCAGGAATTTCGCAATGTTTTGCCACGATTTTGTGGATTTTGACAGGATGTCTCGAGCGAAACGCTGGTTTTTTCTTTCACAATTTGTTGAGGATGTCTCAAGCGAAACACTGGTTTTGCCAAATTGGGGGATGTCTCCAGCGGGGGCCTCGTGGGGGGCCAGAATTCAAAGGATGTCTCAAGCGAAATGCATGTTTCCACGCCCCGCTCGCAGGAATTCCGAGGATGTCTCGCACGTGTTGCGTCACGCGCGCAGGAATGTTGAGGATGTCTCGACTAATTAGTTTGTTTTGCCAGGATTTCTTTGGATTTTGACAGGATGTCTCAAGCGAAACGCTTGTTGTTCATAATTTGTTGAGGATGTCTCGGGGGAAACGCGGGTTTTGCAAAATTGAAGGGTGTCTCGAGCGGGGGCCTCGTGGGGGGCCAGAATGCAAACGATGTATCAGGCGAAATGTTTGTTTTCACGTCCCGCGTGAAAGCGCGTGGTCTCCTAAGGCCTCAGAGCGGGACAAGCGTGAAAACACGTGGTCTCCTAACGCCCCAGAGCGGGACCAGCGTGAAAACACGTGGGTTCCTAATGCCTCAGAGGCCGCCCCAGGAGGCCCCAGGAGGCCTCCCCAGGGCCCCAGCGTTGCTTGTCGCACTTACTCGCGGCTCCCCTCCCTTCTCTCCAGCTCGAGGCAGGTCGCCCGTGGGCTTCGGAGCGACGCGCGCGCGCAGGGGCCGCGCGCAGGTTGCACCCGCAGGGTCAGCCGGGCGGCCCCGCCGGGCAGCTGCCTTCCCGGTGCCATGCTTGCGCGGAAGCGCCCAGCGGCGTTTGACCTCACCGCTTCCCACTACGAGGCGGATTTCTGGCGTCCCGAGGGCGGCAGGAGCAAACCCGGCCTGAAGAGGAGGCCCGCCGCCGCGGACGAAAGCCCGCCCTTGCCGCCGCGAGACTATGCCAGTCGTAACCGGCGAGACGGCGATGCGTGTCGGGACCTGTTGATTTCTTTGGCCACGGATGATTTGCGACAGCGCTTGCTGCGCAGCCGCTATGCCCTCGAAAGCGCTCGCCGCACGGAACGGCAGAGACAGATCGAGGCAGGGGCTGCCCTCGATGACGACTGGCTGGGGGATGCGGCCAGGGCTTTCAACATCTCTACCCGCAAGAGGAAGCAAATGCAGGTCGTGGACGGCGTCCTGGAGGCCGCGCGACAGACCCGAGAGCGGACTCCAGGCACGGCCACCGCCGTGGACGCCGAACGCAGGGCGGCGCTTCGCAGGCGGGCATGGGATTCCACATCCGCGTTGCGCGAGGCGAAGGCTGCGGGCTTGCTTGTGGCGCAGAAGGATGTCAACAAGCGTCACGGTGTCGACGCGGCGCGGGAGGAGCTGCTTGTTGGATCTTGCCCAGAGGAGCTACGCTTGCGCGGCGAGTGCCTCCAGCGGCGCGGGGGCTGGCCTTCCCATGCTGCGGAGCCCGTCGGAGGCTGCGGGGCTCCGCGACGACGACGACGACCTCTGGGCGTCGCGCTACCTGCAGAGCGCTCTCGCGCGCAGGCACGCGAGCGCCTCCGCGGGCGAGCAGCTCTCGCCGAGCGACGCGGCGCAGTGGCAGCAGCTGGGTGACAGGGCCCCGGGAGCGCAGCGGCCCGCCTGGCAGGCGGGCCCCCTGCGACACCAAAGGCGTACTACGAGGAGCACGGCCGCCTGAACGTGAAGCCCGCGAGGCGGAAGGTGGGCGATTCCGATCGCCGTCTATTCAACGATTTGAAGGTTCTGCGCCGCGCGCGGCTGGAGGATGTCAGGGGCGAGCACGGGCGCCTGCTGCGTCGGCGGCTCTCGCCCGAAGAATTGGCCTCCTGGGAGACGGCGGCCCCGGCCAACGTGTTGCAGGGCACAGTGCGCCAGACCGAGGCCTACGCACCGGGCCGCGCGATTCTCGGCAGCCGACGCGAGTGGCCCAGGGGGCCCGCGCGTTGCCAGCCCTGCCCGTGCTACCTGTGCGGCCGGGATTTCGCCACCAAGAAATTGTTGCAGGAGCACAGGCGCGAGGCGCACGTGGACTTGCCCGAGGCCGAGCGGAGCTCGCTGCCGCCGCGGCGAGCGGAGGAGGAGATCCGCAAGGGAATCTTCGCGGGCGAGCAGCTGGAGGGCCCCTTCGAGGCCCGGGGCGCGGAGCAGCGCCGCGCGCTCAGACGCTTCGCCGAGAACCAGACGGAGAGCCGGCCCGGGGCGGGGCCGGGGCGCTTCGAGGGCAGGGAAGCCGCCTCGGCCACGGGCCGCGCCCTGTGCGGCTGCGTCGTCTGCGCGCGCTCCATCTGGCTGGAAGAGCTCTTTGACGCAGATTTGTCCGTGGAGCCAGCGGGGCCCGAGCTTGCAGCAGACGCCGGCGCCACCGTGGAGGACGCCGCGGGGGGCGGCGCGGGGGACGGGCCAGTGGGGGCGCTTGTCCTTCAGTTCAAGGAGCCTCCAGAGCTGCTTCTGGCAGAGGTCGCGGCCCCGCCGCGCCGGGCTCGCTTCGCCGTGCGCCCCGAGGCCGCCGCGAGCGTCCACGCGCTTCTCGCCGTGGATCGCTGCGCCGCGAGGTGGCCGCTCATCCCGCGGCGCGAGCTGTGGGCTTCTATTTTTTTCATAACTTGTTGAGGATGTCTCGAGCGAAACGCTGGTTTTGCAAACTTGGGGGATGTCTCGAGCGGGGGCCTCGTGGGGGGCCAGAATTCAGAGGATGTCTCAGGCGAAATGCTTGTTTCCACGTCCCGCTCGCAGGAATTCCGAGGATGTTTCGCGCGTGCCGCGTCCCGCGCGCAGGAATTCTGAGGATTTTGACAGGATGTCTCGAGCGAAGCGCTTGTCCCCAGCACGTTCCGTAGCGCGTCCCCTTGGCGCGTCCCGCGGTGCGTCCCCATGGCGCGTCCCTTGGCACGTCACTTGGCGCGTCCCTTGAGACGTTCCGCGTCGCGTCCTCCTGGCATGCCCCCCTGTCAATTAGCTCTGGGGCAGCTATTATGTGTTCAGGCAGCTCGAGCTTAAGATCCAGATCAGTTCGGTCAGGACTCGGATGCAAAGGAGGACTCGATCCACGACGCTATAGAACACAATCGCGCCATGGCACATCGCAATTCAGCACGGTGCAGCAGCACAGCCCTCGGCAGGGTACATCAAGATCGATACCTGCAGCATTGCATTTGCCCGTCACCCAATCCGCTGTCTTTGAAAACGCTGCCATGTGTTACAGTTCTGTATTCCTTTCCGGGTTCGTGGGTCGATCATGTTTCGGATGGCCACGCTGATGAAGCTGGGAGCCTGTCAGCATGCGGGATCACTCGAATCGTCCGAATCTGAGAATGCAGTGCGTATTCAACCACGTGCGCAAGAGTGCCGCACAGGATTTCTGGGTCTGACCCAAGCCAGCGCACGAACCAGCGGCAGACAGTGGTGAGGCGAGTACAGTGGCAAACACAGTAGCCAGCAGTCTGGGTAAACGGGCTGAAGTCAATCGTTGCAGACTCTTTCAACGCATCGCTAATCATCCGCGCCTCCCTCTCCCATGGGAGGCGCTTCGGGATGGATGGAGGAAGAGGCTTAGGACGAGTCTGAGGATGAGGGTGAGAATGAAGATGCGGAGGAGAAGGAGGAGGATGATGAGGAGGGGGAGGAGGAGGAGGAGGAGGAGGAGGACGAGAACGAAGGAAAGACACAACAGATGGTGGAATCTACGAAACTGCCCTGAGAAGCTTATCCAGCCTGCGGCTGCAGACGCGCTGTGTTATGGCCCAGATTGAATGGCCCAAACGGCTGCGCCAATAGATCCAGCATACGCTCCTCCCCTTCTCCTCATCATACTCTGCCCTTCCCCGTCCTCCCTCCTCCTCCTCCTCCTCCTCCTCCTCCTCCTCCTCCTCCTCCTCCTCTTCCTCGGACCCCTTCCCTCCTCCCTGTTCCATTCTCCTCCCCGCCTCCCTCGCTGCCTGCGGCGGCGTTGACGGCACGTGTTCGCTCGGATCAGTTGTCATGTGATACGTCGGCGACGGCGGCGTTTACGGGAGGAGGGGGAGGGTGGTGGGGTGGGGGGCGGGGCGGAGTAAATGAGAAAAAGTTTGAGGATGAGGAGGAATTCGTTGTATGATCATTCAAGCGAAGGGGATTCTGAAGGTGAGCAATACAATGGATGACGATGGTCATGATGATGATGATGATGATGATGATGATGATGATGGTGATGGTGATGGTGATGGTGATGGTGGTGGTGTTGCTACTGGTTATGATGATGATGG